TTTCAAATTTGATTGCTTTTTTAGAAAATCTTTAATCTACGTCAATTATGTTACCCTGTATTCGATTGTGAAATCTGTTTGGTTACTAAAGTCGCAGAGCATAACTGATTTCGTAAAAAGCCTCATCCTGAGTGACTGCTTTGTGTTCCATTCTAAGTAAAGACTTGACTTATGCATATATTTACGGCGTAATCGTGGAGATTTTGTCATGAATTGGGAGATTCATGTATTTATTCCTATACGTTTTTATATTATGGTGTATGGGGAGAATTATGTAAGACTGGGGTCCACAAAGTGAAAAAAGTGAACAAGGATCCTTCAGCAGCGAAACGTCTTTGGCTTTTAAATTTAAAGTAACGACTTTCCCAAAATGTTGATGCTTATCCATACAGAGTGACACCGTATAATAAAGAAAGTCTTTATAAAGCGCGCACCTGTAAAAAGAAAAAAAAAATAGAAAAAAAAAAAAGATAAGGTTACTATTCACGTAGATCACCATGATAAAACGTGGCCAGGGGTCCCAACCCATTGTGATACAGAATGATGTTACAAAGCAAACCCATTCCAGTTAGTAGAAATAAGATTACCGGATACATCACTTGGACAAAATAATGGACGGAATAAGTAAAAAAAAAAAAACCCACTACATGCAGTGGTCAGAAAAAATTAAGATAACTGTACATTTTGTATACATGTACATCACCAAGAAAGAAAAACATGGCGAGGGTTTCCCTTATGGGTGGTTAACCCATTGTGATAAAAGAATGTTAAAAAAAAACTTATTGGAAGTGCTAAAATAATATTGAAACTATTACTGAATACATCACCGTGAAACAATGGCCAGGGTTTTCCTATAGGTGGTTAACCCATAGATGTACAAAAAGGAAAAAACACATGCATAGGTTACAAAAGTATAGGAATGAGATCATTGTAGAACTAGAAATCTCCATGACAAGAAAGGCCAGGGGTTCTCCTGTCACGCCTTTCCTTAACCCATAGGCCTAGATACATGTATACATAAAAGCAAAACCACTGCAGGCAAGATGAGCAAATAGAATGATTAAACAATGAATAAGGTTCCCCCTTTGGTGGTGAATTGTTCAGAATTAAAGACGAGCATTAATACAGGTAGCGTTCTAAGCAAAACCTAAATAACAAACAAGAAAATTAAACAGCCGCTGCAGGAGTCTATCTAGTCCCTCCTGTCTTAGTGAGAATTATTGTTGATACACAAATCTATTTTAGCACTGAACCAGATGTTCATTCTGAAAAATAAATCAGCTTTATTTGCAAAAAGAAAGTGCAGAAATACTGAAACGATTTATAACCATATTGACCCCCACACGAAAAAAATAGGTTGGATTGTTTGAGCAATGAAATTAAATATATCGAACGGCAACAAAAAGACATCTCATTTCTCATATAATTAATAAAAATTACTGTGTATAAAAATATTTCAAGTCTGGCTTGCAACGACATTTCCTTTTTTTTTTATATCCCCCCCCCCCATTTTTGGAAAAGAACACTCACCCAAATGGTTGTCACTCCAGTGTTATGTAGGCTCTAACAACTCAACTCAATCCAGGCCTACTAACGGACGTATAGCATTTATACAAATAATGAAAACTAGGCTGATTAGAGTTTAATGAAGATTAGGATTGCAAGAGTAAGTTTCGAATGATAAAATCTGAAAATGAAAAAGGTGTCCTTAATTACACAATCGCACAGCAGATTTTACAAGTTAGGCCTAAACTAAAGGAAGTAACTAAACTAGGCCTAGCCCTAGGCCTTAATTAATTCATGACAATTATGTCTTACAATATTTGTTGTAAGGTGTGGTCTTCACTCTTCGGAGAAAGTTGTTCTTGTCACTTAAGTTTGATATTCACAAGACGATACAAAGTACGACTGCGAATACGATACGAACTCTGCGCGCACCGCGTGAACACGATAACCATACACGGGCGGATCCAGGAATTTTCGCGGGAGGGGGGGGGGAGTTTCATCAGCCAAAAAATATCTGGAAATGTACACAGGTTTTTTTCTCCGGGCACTTGGCCTCCGCAAATTCAAAAACTGGGGGGGGGGGGGGGGGGGGGGGGGGGGGGGGGGGGGGGGGGGCTGGTACCATATTTCAATAGGGGGCATTCTCTTGAAGATTTATAATGATTTAATCAGGCATGGTTCAAGTGACATAATACTGGATTAACTTAATACTCTCGAAAACATCTCAAAACAAAGTCAAATTTCTTGGTCGTCTGTAGAACTGCTTCTGCAACACCGACATTTTTAAATTAACCTCCTTCCCATTCGTTTGACCCCACTGCGCTACTCGGTAGGGGAAGAGACACGTACGGCGCGCTCGCCGCGCTGACTATAGCAACGAGGTTGGACGCATGCATTCACGGAGACTGGTACCCAAAATAGCGCGTCGTTAAACGAGCCTTTGTGAAAGGGGTACCGGACCTTTTTAATCCTTATCGTTTACGTTGGATTTTCACTACAATTTTGTCCTGAAAAAGCACTTTCGCCGGGTTAATTTTTCTTCCACCGTCCCGATTCTTAATAAGAAAAAATACACGAATCGTATACAAACAAGAAATGAAGGGGAGGCGATGGTGTAGGGTCAAACTTTTTTTAAAGCGATTAGTCCGGGATCCAGAACCCAAAAAATGAGTTAACCCTACACAATTTCCTCCCCACAATATTTTAACATTTTTTAATGCAGTAAGACCTGCTGATTCAGAATCTCGACGGTGGATTAAAATTTGACCCGGCGAAAACGCATTTTAAGGTCAAAATCCAATATGGCCGCCATTTCCTCCAAAAAAAAAAATCAAAAGTGTGATTTTTTTTTACTAAATTCATCAATGATCGACCAATTGAACCCAAATTTGGCTCAGAATGTGAAAAAAAGTATTTTTTAAGATTTTTAAATTAAAGCCAGGCGCACACCTTTACGATTTTACCGGTTCAGAATTACCGGATCACCGGTAGGCCTGCGTTTTGGGGGTTTTTTTCGGTCAACTCGTACTCCCCTCTTTTTGGGGAGTATAAATGGATGGTTCCAACAAAAAGTTCCGATTTTACCCTCAAATCGACGACAGAAATGGTAGTTACAAATAAAGTTCGAGGCTTAAGGGAAACATGTTCATGTACATTGTACATGTAATAGGATTGTTATGACTTTACACATGTAAAATCTTTCTTGCCATGTTACTGTGACTTCCCACACCTCCTTTGCACTTGTAGCAGTAACAGGAAGAAAATGTACACATTTTTGTTTTTATGCTAATGAAAACTACCATATTCATGAGCCAAAACGTGATGTCATTGAAGGCAGAACAGCCTGTGGGTACAATATCAAACTTTTCTTCATTTGGAGTAAGTTCCACTCTGTACTAGTTTATCATGTTAAACAGTTTGTTTGGAAAATAGTAAGTGGTCAATGTTTCTTCAATTTGTTTGTGGGTAATATTCAAGTACTAATTTATGTACCGTTCATGCAATTTTGACAAGGAGTACCTTGTGTGACAAAAGCAAAGTAGCGCCCTCTTACGTGTATTGATGAAAGGATTTGCTAATAATTGAAAATAACCACTTTCTTGTAACTTCCAATGAAAACAAGTATTAAGGTCCCCTTTACTCAGGGCTGCGACCTTTGTACCACCTATGAGCGACCAAAAAAGGCCAGGACGCTCAATGGTCGCCTAAACCCAGAAAATCCTGTTTCTATGTATAACTGCTACAGCGATCCTTGTGACTAACTTAATTGACCACCAAAACTGCATTTTTGGTGTAAAGGGGGTCTAAGATCTTGTGTGTATTGTTGCAACACATAGCAATGTGCATGAACACGAGATGAGCTGAATTTCCACTGCACACTGCTTGACCAAAAGCATAAACTTGTTAAGACCTAATTCATGTACATCAAATCTTAAGAGAAAATAAGTTACACGAATCTGAAAAAGAGTCACACAGACACCAATATTAAATTCATAACGATTCCTCAATATGTTGAGGAATCGTTTGGGGGCATTCCTCATTTTGCCGCAGTACCACAAATACAGGTCACACATGTACATGTATTACCCCCTCAAAACATCATGTACATGTAATTTTTGTAATTTGTACAATTACAAAAATGTAGTTCGGTATACATGTACATGTATACTATGTAGTAACATAATACATGTAATTCTTTTGCAGCTCTAATAAGGTTTCTGCGATAACTTCAAATAGAATATTATTTTGCTCACACAAATTTAGGATTCTTAATTATTTGTTCACTTTTGAGACATCAACAAAGTCATCAAGGTAAAACGATAAGGAAAATTGTGGCTCGAAATATTAGTTTATTTCTAGTCTGTCGAGTTTGACAGGCCCGGCAAAAAACGATGTTACCGTGCACGGACGGCCACGTCGACCGGCGAGTGCGTGCGCAGGCCCGGCAAGATCCCTCGACGTTCATGTGCCTCGACGACTGGCTCATCATCGGCAAATCACGGGCATCAGCTGCTCACGCAGTCCGTTCCCTTGCCGAATGCCAGGGTTTCCTCATCACGTCCTGTCATTTGCGTGGACTGGTCTGTTTGCCTACGCTTTTCCCCTGATCTCCCTACTACCCAAAGTAATTGGGAAGATCAAACGGGACCCATGCAGGGTCCTTCTGATTGCCCCATTTTGGCCACGACAACCGTGGTTTCCACGGCTTGTCCGCCTTCTCTATCACGCCCTGCTCCTCCTCCAAAGGCCAGATATTCTTTGTCAACCTCAGTCGGGTCTGCTTCACCCCGATCGGGACTTTCTCAAGAGCCTGCCGCCATCGCAGTCTGTAGTCGGCGTCGGTCAACCGAACTGTTTACGATAGCCGATTACTGCATTTATATAAATGGTACAGGCAGTATGAAGTAAATCCCTTCTCTACAACTCTAACCAAAGTTGGTGATTTTCTTGTCCACCTCTTTCAGCCGAGTCTAACAGGTTTGCACTGTCGAGAACTATCGCTCCAAAATTCCACACAGCGGACAGATGTAAGCCCGTAGCCTAGGACAGGCCACCTTGTCAAGGCTGTTCTTGAGGACGTGTGAGGTGTAGACCGCTTCGCTCTCGCCGTTGTTCTTACAAAAGACACACCAGGTTGGCTTGGGAACCAACCACCGATTGCCACGTCGAGATGGTGGACCAGTCTCACGGGACAGCTCGTCCATGGTGAAGGGACGGAAACCGGTGGTGGACCCGCTGTCGATGCTGCTGGTCTCTTGGTCCGTCTCCATGTCTGGCGCCTGGAGTCCGAGGAACTGATCTTCCGATGACTCCGAGACAGAGCTGGTCCTTGGAGAGGTTACGGTGATCTTGGTGATGAGACGGGCTAAGCCAAGGTAGTCATGGAAGCGGTCAAACTCTCCAGGCTCTGGGACAGGCAGCTCGGAGTCTGGCTCGTTGTCTTGAAAGACCAGGGAACTGAAAGTGCTGGTAGACATCTTGAAGTATACTCGAGAACTAAACTGATGTTACCGGTTGAAGGATGAAATCCAAGTAATGACCACCAGACGAACAGGCCAGACTTTATCATGAAAATCTTGAACGAGGTCGGTACTTAAACAATAAGAAGAAACCGTTGGCGGCAACATTAAAGGTTCATGCGGCATCTGTGATATCCTTCATGGTGCGCATGCGGCATCTTTGATATCCTTGATGGTTGGCCGCACCGCTTTACGGCAGATCACACACGAGTATTCAACAATAGAGGGCGACCGACTTGGCCTGCAGACTCCAATTTGCGGTTTAGCCAGCAGGCGCTTTTCACGCCATTTAAAAAGGGCGTCCTTAGAAACTACACTGTATAGTTTCTTTCATGGGTTTGGCTTTATTTGGTATTGATGAAGTTATCAAAATGACTTGTATTGAAAGTAATTGGGCTTTTTAGTTGCTGCTCGTTTTCTTATCTGAACAGGAATTTAGTTTTGTTTAGCCGCTGCAGTAGATCAAACGTCAATAGGTTAAGATGATGCCACGTGCTCTGCAAAAAAAATGATTTTTCTTCTGTAGGTACACGCTACATGAATTTGCTTCTTGCGTATTTTAGTTTCGATGGAAGCCAAAAAGCGCTTTTGCATTTTGTATATCATAAACTTGGGACATGATTCTCGTATTCAGAATATCAGAAAATTTGCATTAGTATTAAAACCAAGAGGTACCAAAATATCCTTAAAAAGGAAAGTTAAATAGGTTACTCAAGGATTGATTGATGTTCAAGGATTAATTGAAATTAATTATAACATGGCCCTTTGAAGGAGCAAAAAAATCGGTCACCACACATTCACAGTTCTTCTATCGTTATTTATTCCAGTGACATAACGCGTACAGAGCTCCACAACAGCCATCAAGATTGATGAGCAGTCGAATCAGCAGGCATGGAAGCAGAAGACCAAACACCGACATGTGAGATGTGGTGACAGCGCCACCAGCTGTAAGGGGAAAGATACCACAAACACTTCAAGTTATTAAAGGTTTAAGTTTAAATGGGCTTACGAAGCGTTACGGCACAACCTATATTCGCGATTTTTTTTAACCCCCAAAAAGTATTATTTTAATACCATATTTGCAATACCGTGGGGACGTAATTCCTGTAAGTTTCACTAACATTTCTTACTTAAGACGTCCTAAACGTTCCCATTAAAAGAAATTTGGCCTCTGTTTCTTTTACAAGTGATATACATGTACTCCTCTTTAACAATGGATCCAGGGTGGACAAGTCATTTCCTCCTATAGTCATATTAGCCCCTCCCCCTTAGTGCACCCCAAACACTGGTATCCATATCGGATATTAATACCAGTTTTTGGGTGTCAGAGCAGGGGGGATAGCGTTAATTTTTTGAAATTTCTATAGAAAAAAAACTATTTTTGACAGAGCTGGGGGGGGGTTTGTTGTTTTTGGTGACCCCCAAACACCCCCCCCCCCCCTCCCAGATCCGCACCGGAAAATAACTGGTTCCTCGGTGTTGGCTCATTTCCACGGCCTGGCGTTACACCTCGAGAAAAATAGTTTCGTAAAATTCCTCCTCAAACACTCTTGTATTGTTTACTAAACACTGCAGTTTAAGCGGGGTGATCTGTCAGCCTTAGTTAAGATTACCCGTATGTATAGGAAGCAAAACATGATCATTTACTGTAAATGATCGTCTAGAGACGGAGGAGGATTAGCTCAAATAGTATAGAGCGCTCGCTTGCGATGCGAGAGGTACCGTACGGTAGCCCTGGAACGACATCAAGGTGTTGTTCCAGGTCCACATAGTACCGGGATCGATACCCAGACGTTCGATTTTCTTTTTAGGAACTTCTTATCTCTGTTTTGTTTTGGTTTCTTTCATCTTTGACACTTCCAAATAGTGAAGCTTCCTGTTTATTTCTTTTAAACATTTGTCATGAATGTATACATTATTTGAGTCGATAATGCGTGTAGGCCCTAGCGGTTGTTATGATTGATTTTCTGTTTTAAATTTTTTAACTAACAATCTTCAGATAGTTTTACACTTATCTGAATATCGGTTAGGGAGCATGCAAGTTACAGGAATCAAGTCTCTTCTTCGAATATATGGATTGGCCTGACAAGAGCCGTTTGAGTTGAAGATTACTTTCATTGAGGAGGTCACACGAAAACTCTGATGTGACTGCAAGAGCCGTTGGTAACGGAGATGACGTCTCTTATATCGAAAGTCAGAGAAAAACCAGTTTTTCTGAAGGCGGAAGAAGTCTGCGGCTGATGACCATACCGAGATTACTGGGTCTTAATGAACGGATCTGGCTGCAAGCTGCCCAGGTTGGTTGGACAGTACTTGATGGTATGTGCTTCATCTCCGCTGGTTCCACACAGTGGACAGATGTAAGCCTGTATCCTAGGACAGACCACCTTGTCAAGGCTGTTCTTGAGGACGTGTGAGGTGTAGACCGCTTCGCTCTCGCCGTTGTTCTTGCAGAAGTGATATACATGTACTCCTCTTTAACAATGGATCCAGGGTGGACAAGTCATTTCCTCCTATAGTCATATTAGCCCCTCCCCCTTAGTGCACCCCAAACACTGGTATCCATATCGGATATTAATACCAGTTTTTGGGTGTCAGAGCAGGGGGGATAGCGTTAATTTTTTGGAATTTCTATGGAAAAAAAACTATTTTTGACAGAGCTGGGGGGGGGGGTGTTTTTGGTGACCCCCAAACACCCCCCCCTCCCGGATCCGCACCGGAAAATAACTGGTTCCTCGGTGTTGGCTCATTTCCACGGCCTGGCGTTACACCTCGAGAAAAATAGTTTCGTAAAATTCCTCCTCAAACACTCTTGTATTGTTTACTAAACACTGCAGTTTAAGCGGGGTGATCTGTCAGCCTTAGTTAAGATTACCCGTATGTATAGGAAGCAAAACATGATCATTTACTGTAAATGATCGTCTAGAGACGGAGGAGGATTAGCTCAAATAGTATAGAGCGCTCGCTTGCGATGCGAGAGGTACCGTACGGTAGCCCTGGAACGACATCAAGGTGTTGTTCCAGGTCCACATAGTACCGGGATCGATACCCAGACGTTCGATTTTCTTTTTAGGAACTTCTTATCTCTGTTTTGTTTTGGTTTCTTTCATCTTTGACACTTCCAAATAGTGAAGCTTCCTGTTTATTTCTTTTAAACATTTGTCATGAATGTATACATTATTAGAGTCGATAATGCGTGTAGGCCCTAGCGGTTGTTATGATTGATTTTCTGTGTTAAATCTTTTAACTAACAATCTTCAGATAGTTTTACACTTATCTGAATATCGGTTAGGGAGCATGCAAGTTACAGGAATCAAGTCTCTTCTTCGAATATATGGATTGGCCTGACAAGAGCCGTTTGAGTTGAAGATTACTTTCATTGAGGAGGTCACACGAAAACTCTGATGTGACTGCAAGAGCCGTTGGTAACGGAGATGACGTCTCTCATATCGAAAGTCAGAGAAAAACCAGTTTTTCTGAAGGCGGAAGAAGTCTGCGGCTGATGACCATACCGAGATTACTGGGTCTTAATGAACGGATCTGGCTGCAAGCTGCCCAGGTTGGTTGGACAGTACTTGATGGTATGTGCTTCATCTCCGCTGGTTCCACACAGTGGACAGATGTAAGCCTGTATCCTAGGACAGACCACCTTGTCAAGGCTGTTCTTGAGGACGTGTGAGGTGTAGACCGCTTCGCTCTCGCCGTTGTTCTTGCAGAAGACACACCAGGTTGGCTTGGGAACCATCCACCGATTTGCACGTCGAGATGGTGGACCAGTCTCACGGGACAGCTCGTCCATGGTGAAGGGACGAAACCCGGTAGTGGAGCTGCTGTCGATACTTCTGGTCTCCTGTCCGGCTCTTTCTCTTGACGTCTAGAATCCGAAGAATTGATCTTCAGATGACTCCGAGACAGAGGTAGGCCTTTGAGAAGCAACGGTGGTCTCGGTGCTAAGACGGGCTAGGCCAAGGTAGTCATGGAAGCGGTCAAACTCTCTTGACTCTATGACAGACAGCTCGCAGTCTGACTCGTTTTCTTAAAAGAAGAGAGAACTGAAATTGCTGGTAAACATCTTGAGGTGTACTCGAGAAATATCACCAATTCTAAATGTGGCCTGTTTCCCATGATGCCCTGCTGCTCCTTCGTACCAACCGCCTTGTAAATGGGGTTGCTTACTTCTTCTTTGATTTAGCACTCATTGGAAAGAGTAAGTTGTTAGGCTTGCGACCCGTGGTAGACGCTTCGGCGTGCACATCAAGACGGAAGTCCCACAATGCTGTGCGTTTCCTTCTCACTTTGCGAAAGAGATTTACATTCACCAGTGTGGTTTGGAAAGCTTCGGCGGACCATCATAAAATATGACGACTTTTCCTAATTTTATGTGGGGCATAATGGTACAAAATAAACGATTCCATGGTATGTCCATGGTTGCCTTGGCAACCCATTTAAAAACAATGGTAATCATACCTTTGGGTCTTTTTATATAAAATTGGCAATCTGCATATTTGGCAGTCACTGCACAAGCATGTTATCTTTGCCCAAACCTATAAATACTGGTTTTTACAAAACAATGTCAACAAACACAAAGTGAAGCATAATGTGGAATGTGGTCATGGGAACACCTAAAATACCCCCGTCCTGAGTTAATAATAGTTCAGGTTCACTATACGAATGAAATAAAAGTTACATTTATTCATTAACATTTCGCTTAAATTTCATCCATTACTGATTACATCGGTTAATTACCTTACAACACATAACAAAGATTATACATTTGTATGTCACCCTTTTTACTGACTAAAAGATAGTATTACTTATTATAAACAGCAAAAACTATTGAAAACATTCCGAACCGTGACGTTTCAGTTTGTTTCTAAGGAAATAAAATGACAAAAGCATATAAATTAATGCAAACGCGAATTTTCGATCTCCACTTGTGACGAGTTTGCCGAAACTACAAATTGGAATCATACATTCATGAACTACACTGCATTCATAATGAGATTTACCTATGGAAATTTGAAATTGAAATGAGCAGTAAAGCCAAAAGATATCGTTGCACGAATTTAGGTATAATTCCATCTAATTTGTATAAAACAAATGTTAAAAGTAATCGAGAAAACCCTTACTGTTTGGTGTCATCATGTCTGCACCAGTTGAGTGAAGAAAGTGAACATGCACGCGGTGAAAGAGTACTAAAGTCGCCGCAAGTGGAATTGCTTTTCTTCTTTTTCGATTAAAACGAATCTGTAAGAGTTTTTTTTAGGAATGTACTATTTTGGGGCTTTGTTCCCAGATGGAAAGCACCATCATGTGGTGCTATCTTTCAGCTCACAGTTCTCTTCTGCACCGTGTATATCTTTTGAAATATGAATGGTTTAAAAGTGTACACATATCCTATTTAATGTGGGCCAATAGACCTAAGACATAATGACGTCACGCTTTGTTTACATGTGCGCTTTCCATATGGAAGCTTGGTGGATCACATCCGCACTTGGCTCCCATAGGAAAGCGCACAGGTAAGCAAAGCGTGACGTCATTATGTCTATTATGTCTATTAACATGCAAAAGATGCTTACATACTTGAGTTTCCCGGTGGTTTCCTGTAGTCAAAGGGCACACTATCTACTGTTTGTGCTTGTTATTTGATCTTTCGTTTTAATGCTCCTTCTATTCAATTTCGCTGGTGGCAAGCTGAAACTTAACGGATTGAAATGTAGTGAATCATTTTACCTCTATTTAAATATTTAACTATAATTTCTAGTTACTTTCAAATCTGATCGACTCTGCGTTTCTTCATTCAAATATAGTAATCTAAGATTATGAACGTTTTCAACGTTTTCAATAAATCAAGCATGTATAAGCGATAATGACATCACGCAGTTTATATCTACAAATTCATTCCATTACAAGGAACATGGAAAGTAGGCATGAACATTAATTAAACAGTTGTAACCGTGCAATGAATAAATATACTATAATATCAACAACCAAACTTACTAAAATGAATGACCCACAAAACGAATTTTCTTTTTTAGAAACATTTGTCAAAACTAGGATCAATTAGAAAACTATATTCTGAATTGCACATGAAATCTACTGAAGCAGATTTTGAAATTGGATTGAACGAATGGATTACATGGTTAGTTTTACAGCACTGAAAAAGCCACGTAGTGCAGCAGATAAACCATCTTTCAAATGTGGATACAAGCACCAAAATCGGCACAAATACTCCTTTGGGACTACTCTTGTGAAAAATCCCATTAGCCACTTGAATTTTCAAAATGGCCGCCATTTTCCAAGATGGCCGCCATTTCCTGCATAAACGCCTATTTTACCACACAACATTAACCCACTTGACCGATTTTGATAAGTTTGCTGCTGAATCCTATGTTTTTGAATATGTGGAAGTCAAATTTACAACTCTGAAACTTCTTTGGAGCTTCTTTGTGCCATTTCTAACAAAGAATGTGAAAATTTGTACATAAAACACCGGATAATTGCAGCAGAGTAGAGGGAAAGAGATGCACTCGGTGCTGCAACCCACGCGGGCATTGTGGATCATGAGAGGGAGATGGCAGTGCGAGCCCAAGCTGTTTCAGGCTCAGAGGAAGATTAGCAGGCTCCCTGACTGCCTCCTCATTCGGCGCAAGAGATTCGGGCTCAGGCCTTCAGGCCAGTCTCAGAAGCTCCAGACCATCGTGACGACTTCTGACGTGCTCTCACCCCAAGGAGCACAGTTTGAGCTGACAGCCATCATCAACCACAATTGGACTTTGGAAAACGGCGCTCACTACAACGCCCTACTCAAAAAAGTGGCAACTGGTTCCCCTGCGACGACGACTCCCTGCCCAAAGTGGTGCCATTGGAGCGGGTATGCAGCCCAGACAACTATCTCTTTGTCTTCAACAGCAAATAATTGTTTCTGTCTCTCTGATCCCTGCTCCCACCAGCCCTGAATCCACTCCCCCTCAGTGGAAGAAAGCTCTGACCACTAACAAGAGGAGCCGGTTGTCAGTGCCCCTCCTACCCTTCAATCACCCGAACAACTTCCCAACCCCGACAGCTCTAGACTAGCTCCACCCACAGGAAGCAGCTGCAGAAAGGAAGAGATAACAAAGGGCAGGCTCAAAAGTGGAAAGACACCAAGAATAACTTCAGAACCAGCAGTGAATGGCTGCCAGAAGGAAAGATTCTGAGGTTAGGGAGGAGGAGAGGGAACATTCTGTGGAAACCGCAGAGTATGAATAAAAGACACAGAAGAGCTGCTCAACACACCCATGTCTCTTCGCATCGTGCGTGTCAAAATCAGGCAATATAGCTGGCACCTGTCAGATACCCGAGCTCAAGGACATGTCGGACACCATCGGAGCCAATGGACAAGGTATGTCATCACAACAATATGCCTTGCTGTTAAAAAAAATGAGTCTCCCAGCATCTGCCGTGGAGACGGCAAGGTCAACCTCAAGACTTTCCCCACCCAGCCACCAGAGATAAACGATCTCTGCTTCAGTAACAGCCCAGAGGCTATATTGTTCAGCAATCACATTCGGCCTGTCAACAATGCGGTCTGCCTTTTCAGCATCACCGACAAGGGAGATCAGAGACACCGCCTCCCGAGATTGAACCCCCTCGGTCACCTTCAACGGGACGGTCACCCAGTGTTTCGGGCCCCTTTAAACAGATCCTGGGAGAACGTACACCTCGCTATACCCAGCTGTATGTGTTGGAACTACCCAAACTTCGGTTGTTCTGTAACCAATTGTTTGGGTTAGAATTTCTGCTAAATTCAACCAAAACTTGTGGTCATCGAAGACCAAATTTAATTTGATCTTGTATGACCTTGCATCATCAATGTCAAGGCCCGGCCTGTCGGCTGGAATGGTTTGACACCCCTGAAATAAGAATTCGGTCAATAGGAGCGAAAACGTTGTGAGTGTTATACCTAAACAAGCGGCGCCGTCAAAGTGTTGAAGTGTCGTTCGTTGAAGTTATACGGTTAGCGTCCGGAAACAGGGATGCAGTCAAGGTCCGATGACCAGAGTCGGCGACATTGTTATCAAGCACGTCGTCAGCAACGGTAGGCGTGGTAAGGTACTGGGCTGTCTCATCTGCTGGGAATGAGTACTATTTATTTCTTATTTTAACTGGGTAGCCCATTCAGTGGAATCCACTGATCTCCCATGGGTCACAGTAAAGAGAAGACAATGTGAAGAAATTACAGTTTTAGAGGTGGGAGGAAAAACCCAGAAGAGTATTCTGAGGAAAACCCACGGAATCAAGTAGGGACTGAAAACCCAATCCACATATTGACCCAGGCGGGATTCGAACCCGGGTCACAGCGGTGGAAGGCGAGGAAAGTACCGCTACGCCAAACTGACTCCCCTCGAGCGTCGAGGAGGGTGATGCAGTTTGGGTTGGTCGAACAGGGACTGGATCTGCTTAGAACAAACCCGATCGAAGGGAACCACTGGGGAGGGATGGGGGTGACTAGTGAGTCAAAGAGGTCTCATCTCCACACCACACCATGTTCCTTCGGTTTCCCTACAAGGCACCACATATGAGTTCCAAGACCTTCCTTTGGCTTGTCCATGACCCTTCGGGTCTTCACCAGAATTGTGAAGCAGTGGACATTGCCCTCCATCGTCAAGGTCTACAGATGTTCATGTGCCTCGACGACTGGCTCATCATCGGCAAATCACGGGCATCAGCTGCTCACGCAGTCCGTTCCCTTGCCGAATGCCAGGGTTTCCTCATCACGTCCTGTCATTTGCGTGGACTGGTCTGTTTGCCTACGCTTTTCCCCTGATCTCCCTACTACCCAAAGTAATTGGGAAGATCAAACGGGACCCATGCAGGGTCCTTCTGATTGCCCCATTTTGGCCACGACAACCGTGGTTTCCACGGCTTGTCCGCCTTCTCTATCACGCCCTGCTCCTCCTCCAAAGGCCAGATATTCTTTGTCAACCTCAGTCGGGTCTGCTTCACCCCGATCTGGACTTTCTCAAGAGCCTGCCGCCATCGCAGTCTGTAGTCGGCGTCGGTCAACCGAACTGTTTACGATAGCCGATTACTGCATTTATATAAATGGTACAGGCAGTATGAAGTAAATCCCTTCTCTACAA